ATTAGCATTATTGGATCTTCAATGACCTTTGACATGAATGTGATGCCATCTAGATGCCATCCAGTTTTTTCTTTGCATAAAAAATAAAATTTCACAATATTAGCAGTAATAACTACAATATTCTGCCAGGCACTGATCCAATACTTAACTTGTATCATTTACTAATCCTCATAAGAATCCTTTGAAGGACTTGCCAGGTGCCACAATAGGAAAGTCCCAGAATCAAGACATGAACTCAGAAGTCTGACTCGAGAGCCTGAGCTCTTAACTGCAGAAACACATTTAATCTGTTTATGGGAATGCGAGCTCAGAATGTGCAGTGCTGGCTTAGATAATTGAATAGAATTCTTTTTAAACAAATAATTTTTGGATTATTTTTCTTTAAATATTTTATCTTTAAGTAATTTCTACACCCAACATGGGAGTTGAACTCACAGACCCAAGATCAAGAGTCTCATGCTCCACCAACTCAGCTAGGATGCCCCTAGAATTTTTTTTTTCTTAATTTAAGTTGGCTTCACGCCCAGTGTGGCACCCAATGCGGGGCTTGAACTCAAGACCCTGATATTAAGACTCAAATGCTTAACCAACTGAGCCATCTAGGTGCTCCACCCCTAGAATTCTTTTGCCTAAGATTCTCTTGTACACAAACATTCTATATTTCACAACAGTAATCTCTTGCAAGTACATGAGTGACAAATACCAGGAGATGCATTTCACTCCAAAACGAAAAGTGAAAATGTCTAAAAACTCAGATCTTGGATAGTGAAAAATGGATGGAAAATCATCATCATTTAGACTATATTAAGGGTTGCATTTCCTATCGTGGAGATGGGCTGGGCCAAATAGCCTGCTGTGAAGACGGAGAACAGTTCACAATCGCTCACATCTGTGACAGTGAAACACTGGACCAGTTGATTCACACAGAGACTGGTCTCACAACCTTGTCCTTGCCAACAGCAGCATGCTATCATGGCAAAATCGGACAAGAGTATCACACAGAGCCTGAAAGGGTGGAGAATGAGAGGCTGGAAGCCAAAAATATATCACCTTGAAATACTGGTTCCTTTCAATTCCCAGTATGTGAGGAAGGTGATCTTTTTTTTTCTTGTAATAGAGAAATACTGCAGTGTATTCTGTTTTATGAAGCACCCACAGAGGTTTCATATTTTAATAAGAATGTATCTGGGTTTTTTAAAGTGGAACAAAATTTTTATTCAGACTATCTGAGACATCGTAAGGTCTCTGAGTTGAGACTGAATGCTGTACGCAACACCATGAAAAATGCTGACTGAAAGAAAAACCACACACTCACCTTCACACACACAATTCTCATGGCCTACTCCTGAAAAAACAAACTTGTAGGACAACAGCCTCCTCACCCTTCACCCTCGCATCTTCCTACACCAGACTCTCTTTTCCTCCTGTAGCTTTCCTAGTCTTCCTTCTGAAGCCCAAGCGCTGAATGGATTTGGGGTGCATGGGGAAAAGGGTTTACCCACACACTTTCTCCCACACTCCACCCAAGTCAAGAAATGAAGGCAACATCAGGCACAGCTCTAACTACCAGAGTGGGCTGCATATGAAAGTCATTCCAGATGGTCAGTTTCTCACTGTAATCAGTATCATGAAAATCAGTATCTAGTGAATATCATCAAAATATTATATATATTTATATTTATATATATTTATATTTATATTTATTATATATATATAAAATGGTGCATAGTTTTGAAAATATCTCTGTAAGAAAAATAAGAGGCAATTCTAATTTCTCTCCTGGCTTCTGGGTTAGGAAACTTGGAGCCAAGAGTGATGAAGACGTATTTACCAGGAAAAAAGTAGCCGTAAAAGGTTTCCCACTACAGAATCTTACACAATACTTCTAGTGAAATATCAGGTATGTTAGGTTTTAATAAACACTAAAAACACCTCATCATCTTTGCTACACATACAAATCAAAGGCTGAAGCACAAAAGTGTAACTATTTCAGAGGAACTGTGGTAATAAGGTAGAGAGACAGATTTTTCTGTGTATAAAAGTGGAAAGATTTAACTTTTTTTCTTTCTCCTATTCCAGAATCAAAGTAAGGAAGTGCCCTTCATTTTTTAAAACCTTTTCTATAAGTTTATTTGTTTTGAGTGACAGAGAGTCAATGGGCAGGGGCTGGGGGGGGGGGGGGGGGGCGGNGGAGGGGCGGAGCCCAGGAGCAGGGAAGGGACAGAGAGAGAGGATCCCAAGCAGGCTCCACACAGTCAGCACAAAGACACATGTGGGGCTCCAAAACATGAACCGTGAGATCATGATCTGAGCTGAAACCGAGTCGGAGGCTTAACTGACTGAGCCACCCAGGCACCCCCAAGGAAGTGTCCTTCATAAACATTAAGTCTCAGAGCCTTATCTGGGTTGTTTTTTTCTCACTGTTTTCCCAGCAACATGAGATTTTTATCCAATCCACCACTCACTCCCCTCTTCCAGGAAGTCTCAGAGAAGATCCTGATCCCCACCCCCACCCCCACCCCGGGGTTCCAAGTGTAAGCAAGGTGTCCTCTCTGTAGTTTTCTGCTTCCTCAAAGCTACAGTGAAACCTGTGAAGCTGATAACAATTATTCTTACCATGTTGCTCTGGGCTATTTAGCTCACTTCCTAGAATAATACCTCTTCTCATGAATAACCAAAGCCAGGTTCTTCCCCTGAAGAACATTTTCTCTGTGAACTATGAGCAAGAACAATGCATGGGCTCAGGAGCTGCCTGGTCCTTTATATATGTTCTTGGTGGGATAGTCATTTTTGTTAATATTATTCTTTCAGGAATAGGGAATAATTTGTCAAGGAGATAAAAGTTTTGTATTTTTAAAATTTGTTTTGGGAGGGGGCAGGAGGGAGATGGGCATGGAGGAGGGCACCTGTTAGGATGAGCACTGGGTGTTATATGGAAACCAACTTGATGATAAACTATTTAAGAAAAAAAAGTAAAATTTGTTTTAAGACCCCAGGTGGAGTTCCTATAAGCTGAAAACAAACAGCAAAGATCAATAAAGCAATGGGCCTTTAGAGAGCACCACCACCTGTGTCTACGCAGCCAGATACACTTTTAGCTAATTACTTGCTAAGGCTAAACTGTAAAGAAGATGATGACTATCTAAGTCAGAGTTGCCAAAGACTGAGAAAAGTATTGTGTGTGGTTTTTTAAAAGGAAACCAGTCTTGCAGGCTCCCAGGCTGTATTTAAGTTATTGTGTTTTGGTTTTTAAATACATTCAACGATAAAACGAGACATAAACTATATGCTAAAGCTTACACAATCATGAAAGAATGAATACAAATGAAATACAAACAGAACTGAAAACCAACGAAATGAAAATGTGCCGCACTAAATAGCTATCTGACATACACCCTGGCTGATGACCTCACAGGTTCTTTTGATTTGGCATGCATGGTACTTCATGCTGTAGAAAAATCCGTTCTCTCACCATTTTTTTTTTACTTTAGCTTCTGAAAAACCTTGGTTCATACAGCATGTCATTTGTTTTGCACCTGCAGCATATCCACTGTTTATTTTAGCCAGTTTTCTTTCTTGGTACCAAAATATGATAACAGATACAAATAACTGCGGCACTGAAAGAGCTTGGCAGGTTTCAGGGATCAATTGATTATCCAAATGACCTGAATGATGCCCATGTTACTTTTAAAAATCATTATGGAAAGACACTAGTATCAACAGTTCTCTTAAGTGTATACTCCAAGAGTACACCCCCTCAGTTTGAAAAACACTGCAGTAATCAAATGAAAGATAAATATGGTATAGTCCCTACTTTCAAAACATTTGCAGTCTAGTTAGGAGGAAAAAAAGACAACTGTAGTTAATAAAGACGGTGCCACTGGACAGGTATAGCATATACCTATAAAGGTTCAGAAGAGGAAATTATTTCTAGCACGTGGCCATACTGAGATAGACCACACGGTTATGCTGGCAGAAGTCAATGTGATTTAGTAAATGCATAGAAAGGTACTTATAAAGAGAAAGAAATAATTCTGGGGGTGGGGTGGGCACTTGGAGAGACAGCAGTGGGAAGGGAAACTAGAAAGGTGAAATAATTCTGAAATGGCAGAAAAAAGCGTCCGATTATTTTGGAAGGCTGCTGACTAGGAGTCCACTAAGTCTTCGCTGCAACAGAATCGTTCTGTTGTTACAACACTTTGTAACAAAGTGGTGATTTCCCAACACCTTCGTTAACATACATACTTCTGCATATACATACGTTTTAGGCATTTTTAAGTGAAACCTGAGGCTGATGGAAACTTCTCTGAGGTCAACTCGTGTATCTTAGTGCCATAATTCCTTCCAAACGTTTTTACAGCGCCTGATACATATTTTCAATACCTGCCTCACCTAGAGCGCAAGCATATCAAACGTTCAACTTAAACGATCAAGATACTGGTGACAGTGGGGGCGCCTGGGTGGCTTAGTCGGTTGGGCGTCCGACTTTCGCTTAGGTCTGATCTCGCGGTTCGTGGGTTCGAGCCCCGCGTCGGGCTCTGTGCTGGCCGCCAGCTCAGAGCCTGGAGCCTGTTTCGGTCTGTGACTCTCTCTCTGACCCTCCCCTGCTCACGCTGTCTCTCTCTCTCCTAGAAATAAATAAAACATTAAAAAAAAGATACTGGTGACAGTGTTGCTTAGAACGGAAGATCTACCTCTGCACATTGTACCGCCGAGGTCGCAGGACCGCAGAAAAGAGCTGCGCGCACCGCCCCTGCTCCAGGGCGTCTCAAGACAGCTTAGCGCCGCGCCCACGCCTCCGGCGGGCGGAAGAGGCGTGGCTGCCGTGATTGCGCACAAGAGGGCGCCAGCGTCGAACCACGCCCTCGGGGCGGAGCGAGGCCTTTACAGCCGCGGGGGAGGCCCGCCCCACCCTGCTGTCTGGCGATTGGTGAGGTGGCAGCTGCAGAGGCGGTGATTGGAGGGCTCACCGCCATCTCTTCCAATGGAAATAAGCCAGAGGCGCTCCCAGTGGCGGAAGCAGCATGGCGTGGAGACAGCTCAAAGTGAGTTCAGAGTTCAGGGGTCTGCGGCAGCGAGTAAGAGTCGGGTGAGGAGTGGGACTAGAGCAGAATCGAAGGCTAGCCTGGGGCGAAGTGTGGACAGAATGAGGCTTCAGGATCGTGGGCCCCATTTGCACGTCTGTGCGTCTCTGGAGGTACACGTGCGTGTGCATTTACACGTGTACTTGGCCAATGTGCGTAAGGGCACGTTCCTGTCTGGGTAGATGCAGGTCTGGTTTCAGCGCACATGGCCCAAACTTTTATTGAGCCCAGCATTCAGGCGTGTAGTAAACACACGACCGCCTAACATTGTGTACAGGATCCATCGTGCAATGAAGTTACACTAAGACATGGCCCCAAACTTTCTAGATGAAATTTTAGGGCGGGGGTTATGTAACTGTTCAGATATTTGTTGATTGACATTAAGGGGCGTTCCTACAATCTGCTGCAGCCCGGAAGCAAGGCAACACAGACTTGTTTTGTATCCACAGCTGGGAGCGGCTTTCAAAGGCAAATCTGATCACGTCACTAACTTGTTAAGGGATCTGGCCAAGGTCTCTGCCTATCTCCCCAGTTGTTTTTTTTTTTTTTTTAATTTTAACGTTTATTTCTGAGAAACATAGAGCACGAATGGGGGAAGGGCAGAGAGAGATACACACAGAATTTGAAGCAGGCTCCAGGCTCTGAGCTGTCAGCCAGAGGCTGGCCCGGAGCTCGAACTCACCAACCGTGAGATATAACATGAGCCCTAAGTCGGTCGCTTAACCGACTGAGCCACCCAGGCGCTCTTCCCCAGCTTCTTAAGCTGTGCTTTGCCTCATTCCTTGGTTTCAAACAAACCTTTCCCTTTCCCCCCATTTCTTGGGTGCATCTCATTACACTCTGCCACTGTAAGCGCCTTTACAGTTTTTCTTGTCCACTGTGTCCTAGTTAACTCCTGTTTATCCTTTGGACATCAACTTAAAGTCACTTCCTCAAGGAAGCCTACCTCTCCCTCTGAGATGGGGTTGGGTTTTATTATTACCGTATGTTAATTCATAGTAATTGTCAGTTATATATTTGTGTGATCATTGATTAATGACTGTCTCTTCCTAAGATTGCCCTCTCTGAGGGCAGGGACTCTGTTTAGCCCACCTCTGAGTGCTCAATTACTGTTGGGCAGAGGACTGTATGAATGAATGAATGTGATTAACTATGAACCATTTTTCAAGTAGGATTCTTTGGTTTTGAGAGAGACTGGGGAAGGGGCAGAGAGAGGGAGAGAGAGAAGCCCAAGCAGGGGCTGGATCCCACAAACAGGAAGATCAGGACTTGAACTGAAATCAAGGGGTGATTGCTCAACCGACTGAACCATCCAGATGCCCCAAACTAGGATAGTGATTCTTGACTCAGTAAGCCCTGATGCTCCTTTAAAAAAAAAGTATTTTGCAACTGCTTTTATTATCCTGAAGTGGAATTTATGTATAATGTAATCTATGTATAATTTTTTTTTTTTGAGAGGGAGAGAGCCAGCGTGAGCAGGGGAGGATCAGAGAGAGAGGGAGACACAGAATCTGAAACAGGCCCCAGGCTCTGAGCTAGCTGTCAGCACAGAGCCCGACGCGGGGCTCGAACCCACAAACCGTGAGATCATGACCTGAGCCAAAGTCGGATGCTTAACCAACTGAGCCAACCAGGTGCCCCTATCTATGTATAATTTTAAAAGGTTAAAATAATGTCCTAACTGGAATATAACAGAGACAAAAAGGAATTTATAATAAAATAACATGTATTTTAGCATGTAAATGTTGGGCATGACCCACTTAATGAGATAGTCAGGTGTTTAAGCCTCTATTTAGAAATTCCAGTGCCTCAGGTGTGTTTTCTTGTCAAACACCCAAACAAAGCATTATACTATTCTTGAGATCTCTGAAAACGGTGAACAATCCTTAGTAATGTTCTGTGCAACACAGTGCAGTCATCTCTCAATTTATGACGGAATCGCATTCCTGGAAAAGTCAGTGCATATTAAAACTGTGCATGAGATAGTTGGTGTTTATGTGGTAGAACACAGGCTCAAATAATATGAATAGACTTTTCTACATACTGAGTGTTTGTGGTATCTTCAGAAGTCATACAAGATAGGGACATTCATCTGTCAGACAGCCTAAAACAATGTAGGATGTCTGCCTTTACAGATTCCTGCCCACTTAAATCTATGAGCAGGATGCCTGGGTGGCTCAGTCGGTTAAGTGTCCAGTGTCGGCTCAGGTCATGATCTCACGGTCCGTGAGTTCAAGCCTCATCAGGCTCTGTGCTGACAGTTCGGAGCCTGAAGCCTGCTTCGGATTCTGTTTCCTCCTCTGCCCCTCCCCCACTCATGCTCTGTCTTTCTCTGTCTCAAAAGTAAATAAAACATTTAAAAAATTAAAAATCTGGGGCGCCTGGGTGGCTTAGTCGGTTAACCGTCCGACTTTCGCTTAGGTCATGATCTCATGGTTCGTGGGTTCGAGCCCCGCGTCGGGCTCTGTGCTGACTGCCAGCTCAGAGCCTGGAGCCTGTTTCAGTCTGTGACTCCCTCTCTCTCTGACCCTCCCCTGCTCACGCTGTCTCTCTCTCTCCTAGAAATAAATAAAAACATTAAAAAAAAAAATTACACCACAATATGATCTATGTTAACAAATTAAAATTTAAATAAAAATTTGAAAAAAAAAAAAATTAAAAATCTATTAGCATTCTTCCAAAATGCCTACCACATGTCCCTCAGGGGGCAGTGCTGCCTCTCTTGAAGCCTCCGGCCCAGAGTCCATCAAGGCCAAACGAGTGTGGGTCAGCAGAAGTGTGGATACAGCCACTGAAAGTAGAGACCAATGTGTGAGCAAGACTAGAAATGAGGGAGACCAGTGTTTGCAGAAGGCTAGGCATATCCCTTCATGTCACACGTCCTGTCTTGTGTGCCTGGGTGTAAAGGGCTCAGAGAAGTTACTGCAGTCTGGGCCCATTGGGCCCCCTTTTTTTCCCCCCTTCAGAAGCGGGCCCAGGATGCTGTGGTCATTCTGGGAGGCGGAGGACTTCTCTTCACTTCGTACCTGACGGCCATGGGGGACGAACATTTCTATGCTGAACACTTGATGCCAGCTCTGCAGAGGCTGCTGGACCCCGAGGCAGCCCACAGGCTGGCCATTCGTTTCACCTCCCTGGGGCTCCTCCCTCGTGCCACGTTTCAAGACTCTGACATGCTGGTAGGTGCTCTTGGAACACCTTCTGATTAACAAGCTCCACAGGTAATTCTGACACAGATGTGCTGGGGCCTGCATGTTGAGAAACACCAGGATAGCCTGGCTTTGTTTCCTTCTCCCTAGGAAGTGAGAGTCCTGGGCCATAAATTCCGAAATCCAGTGGGAATTGCTGCAGGATTTGACAAGCACGGGGAAGCCGTGGATGGACTTTACAAGATGGGCTTTGGTTTTGTAGAGATCGGCAGTGTGACTCCACAACCTCAGGAAGGAAACCCCAGACCCAGAGTCTTTCGCCTTCCAGAGGACCAGGCTGTCATCAACAGGTAGGTGAATGGCCCAGAGGTCACAGGGGATGCCTTCTTCCCAGAAGGGTACTCAGTGATGGGAGATCTGCCTGTTCTTTCTGTCATACAGTGTGGACATTTTTCTGCTATTGGGAATGTTCGAGAACCATGTTGAGCATCTCCTTTGTGCAGGCATAAAAGCAGATTTTATTATTCTAGTTTAATACATATACACCCAGAGGGCTCAGAGAGCTACCTGCCTTATCTGTATGAGATGGTAAGTGGGAGAGCCGGGGTACAGATTAATACTTATTTGATTTTAGAGTTTGTGCTTTTTCTACATTGTTACTCCAGTGCCCTTGCCCAGCACTGTCCAGTAGAAATATGATGTGAGCTCTATATGTAATTTAAAGTATTCAGGGGGCTCCTGGGTGGCTCAGTTGGTTGAGTGTCCAACTTCGGTTTAGGTTATGATCTCACAGTTTGTGAGTGTGAGCCTGGCATCGGGCTCTGTGCTGACAGCTCAGAGCCTGGAGCCTGCTTCGAATTCTGTGTCTCATTCTCTTTCTGCCCCTCCCTGACTTGTGCTGTGTCTCTCAAAATGTAAAAATAAAATTTTAAATATTCAGGTAGCTACAATAAAATAGTAAAAAGAAATGGGGGAAATTCACTTCAATAATATTCTATTTAGTTACTGCTTATAATTATATTTAATTATACTTAACATATTCTGAATGTCATTTTAACATACAATCAAAATAAAAATGATTGGGGCGCCTGGGTGACTTAGTCGGTTAAGCGTCCGACTTTTGTTTAGGTCATGATCTCACGGTTCATGGGTTCAAGCCCCGCATCAGGCTCTGTGCTGACTGCCAGCTCAGAGCCTGGAGGCTGTTTCAGTCTGTGACTCCCTCTCTCTCTGACCCTCCCCTGCTCACGCTGTCTCTTTCTCTCTCTCTCTCTCTCTCTCCTAGAAAAAAAAAAAAAGATTAATTAGCTATTCACCATCTTTGACTGGTAGCAAGTCTTCTAGATCCAGTGTGCATTTGACTTAGAGTGCCCTCGTTGTGTACTGGTCGCATTTCAAGTGCTCAGGGCCACATGTGGCTAGAAGTTCTTGGACTGGATGGTGCAGCCCTGGCTTTTAGTAAACTGGAAAATTTAATAATCCATATGGATAGCTGCTTTTAGTAAGAGAGATCCTTCTGGATTGTGTAAAGCCCTTTGCTTTGCAATCCCTAGGCAATACTCACTACAGCAAACCCAGAAAATGAAAAAGTGTCTGCTTTTTGGTAACAGAATTTTGAATCTCCTTGAGAGAATTTGATAGGCATCTTTGGGACCACTGATAGCCTTCTGGAAGATGAACCTGTGGAAATTTTAGGTGGCTGCAGTTCCCGCTTTATTTTTACTTGTTTCAGGAAAAAGTTCCAGCATTAGAGATGAAGTTATTGAGCTTTTTGTTGCATTGCAGGCTGGGATTGGTATCTTCAGAATTTCCAGGCAAAATATACTTGTTAATGATTCGTAACTGTAGGTACCAGGACAGCAGTGCTGGGCAGAATCCTTAGACGACAAGTGGTTGAGGGAGGAGAGCCCTTGTGTTCAGCCTCCTTGCTGTGGGTGGCATGGAGTGGGTGCCTAGTAAGCACCTGCAAGTGAATGGAGTAATTTATTCATGAAGTCAACAAAAACAGGTGGCGCTCTCTCTGTCCAGTGTTTTTGCTTCCAGGTAACAAAGTGGCTTAAATAATAGGCATTTGCTATTATTTCTGCTCTGGGAGGGCGTTTGTGGAGCACAGCCAGGAGGTGGAAAGATGGGGTTGTCAGCGAGGCCCTGCTGCAGGGGAGGGGTACATGAGTGAGGAGGAGTGTGGGCCAGGACAGCCACATGGTGAGTTTGGGCTGTTTCCAGTGCTAGGTACCAGGTGGCTTGTTTGCAAATTTAAATCTTTCCCTCTGTGTTTGTTGATGTTATGGCAAGTTCTCTAGGAGTTCCAGGAGTGTTTAAACCTTGGAAGTCTAAGAACTGACTCTGATTTTTGTCTCTTTCCTGTTTTTAGAAGTCCAAAGTGTAGTGGAAATGGCCATGAAGCCATCTCTCCAAAGTCTTTGCCGTATGGCTGAGGGCTCTAACCTTGTCCCCTCCCCGTCTGCTTTTTTGTTACAGATACGGATTTAACAGTCACGGACTCTCAGTAGTGGAACACAGGTTGCGGGCCAGACAGGAGAAGCAGGCCAGGCTCACAGAAGGTAAAGTGGGGCTGTGCTAGAGGGCCTTTCTCCATTTCGGGGAGGAAACCTGTGGGAGAAAGGTCAGGAATTCTTAGTGAAATAAATGTGACTGAACAACAGGGGGAAAACACTATGAAACTCAATAATTGTCCTGGCTTTATCACAGTCACCAAGATTGAAACTGAATTTCACAATTTAGCAAAGACTTGCTTAGTTTCTCCCTCGTTATAGAACCTGTGTTGTGTCATAACTGGGGCCCCTTGGAAGTGAGCAAAGCAGAACAGCCCCTCTGTGGTCACGTGGGTAGGTGAGATGTGAGCAGGACTTGAGTGCCGTCTTCCTCGGTCCTTACTGTGATGTCCTTTTGTCCATTAGGTAAATAATGCACGTTAATTATAGAAGCATTAGTAAATACAGAGAAACATCAAGAAGAAAATCGAAATTACTCCTACTCCTCTTTCCTCTGGGAGAACTAATCTTGGCATTTGGGAAAATATCCTTCATGACTTGTTCAGAAACCCCATGCATGTTGGAAGGCCGGCTTCAGATACACTGATGTCTATTCTCTGGGGCTCTGCTTTGCTGTCCCTCCGGATCCATATAGTGCCTTTAGCGCTGTTTCGTCCTCACCACGCCTTCCCAGATGTCCTCTGAGATTGTGTGGGGCTGTGGCCATTTTCCTCTGGAACTCTTTCTAGGAATTTAAGTCTCATTAAATGTCCTGGTAGTGAGATGAGGAAAACCTATGGACATCGGATTCCCTTCAGGAAGGGAGGTTGCAAGGGCCCAGGCAGTCGGCAATCTCTGATTTTAGGAAGAGGAGGTTACCTTGTTTGGAAATCCCAGGCTTTAGTAGGAGCAGACAGTGCTATACTACAGACCTTTCCCTTTCCCTTTGGGGAACTTTGAAGCTTATAATATGACCTCCATAGCTTGTGACTCTCTTGCCTTCTTGCTTCCCTTTCTTCTTTTCATTGTCCCCAGCTTGAGGTTTATCCCCTGTTCTTCCTTGCCCTTCACTACCCCCACCCCCACTCCAGCACTACCACTGAAGCAGAATCTTCCAGCAGATTTTGCTCCTCATGTTTTCCAGAGTCTAGAAGCCTTGAAGACCGCTTATTGCTAGCATAAGTTGACAGAAGCTGTGGTGCCCTTTGAGGATAGATTAATCCAGAAATTTCTAACTTTAGAGTCTTGGCCCTTTGGGCAGCTAACTGCTGATGGAAGATCCCGGAGTTGCATGAAAGCAATGTTCCCTTTCAAGTCAGCTCACCTGAGAAGCTTCTTTCACAGAGAAGAATCAGCTTACAAATGGCTTGGCTTGATGGAGGCTGGACTTGGGAAGCTTGGAGGCCCTGTATAGCATTTGTCTAGTTGGGTGCCGCCCTCCACCCCCACCCCTCTCCAGGGAATCTCATTTACTTTCAAGCTGGTGATTAAAAGGGTGACTAGGGTATGAGAAGGTAGTTAGCAACACTAGATGTTGGTCTTGGATCCCACTGATGTGGGATCCACTGACACGTTTTGGGAGCTCACTTGGTGCTTCAGGTCTTTTCCCAGTCATCCCATGGTAAAAGCTGCCAGCACCAATGACATATCAGTAACCTTTGCAGGTAAGGTAGTGTCTTAGAAGCCAGGTACAGACAACCTCTTGCTTTCATGCATAGCATGTTTCTAAAATGTATTTTTCTAACAGTCTAAAATGCAAGCCAATAATCCCATGGATTTTAAGTTGGGTGGCCTAATACTTATTGTGCAAATTGAGACATTTTGGGGTGTGAAGGGTGCAGGCATTGATAATTATGCCCAGGCTACAGGAGCAATGAGGGCTGTTCTGGGGCGTGTGCTTACCCTAGTTATGAAGCGGAGTCCCTTCTCAGAGAACGGAAAGTCCAAGTTCTAAAAGAATTATACCTCTATATCTTAGGCATGATTAGTTGAAAACATTTTCCAGTGTTGTATACGTGTTCTTTAATTTTGCACATCCTGTCACTCAAGTCCAGCAGACAGCCCCTGAGAATAAACAGCTGGCCCTGATGTCCCTGTTGATTTCTGACTGTCCTCATATTTATGAGCCCTTACTTTTTATCGCTAGAATTTGTACTCCTAATTTCTCCATTTTCCACTAAGTTTTAAAAGAGAAAACAGACACAATGCACTAAAACATCCTGGTAGTTGCCCATACATCTGCACAAAGACAGCGACCTCTTCTTGGTCAGCAGGCAACATCACCGTGTGGCTTTCTAGGTGTTTCCCGGCTGGTCCTGGAAGTTCACATAAAGACGTGGATGCCTACGGGGCTCTTTGTGGGCTGTTCAGTCAAGGACAACTTCAAAATGTTGCACAAGAAATGGGGTTTGGGGTCAAAATCTTGACAATCCATCTTTACAGGGGGGCTGCCACTGGGAATCAACCTGGGGAAAAATAAGACCTCGGTGGATGCTGCTGCGGACTACACGGAGGGGGTTCGAGTCCTGGGCCCCTTGGCTGACTACCTAGTAGTGAACGTGTCCAGTCCCAACACTGCAGGGCTACGGAGCCTTCAGGGAAAGGCTGAGCTGCGCCACCTGCTGACCAAGGTAGGAAATTATAACTCCAGGCTCCATTCCACCAGCCCATCATACCCACTACTTTCCTGTTCATTCTTCAGGGAAAAGCTTTAGTGTCACTGTCCAGGAGCTGTCCTTAGCACCTGGACCAGATAGGACCCCTTGCTATACCTGTAATCCCCTATCATAACACTGATTATGCTTAACAGTCATTAATGACTCAGTTACCTGTCCCTGTGTTAAACCATAAACCCTGTGAAAGCAGGGCCTGTCTCTCTCTGTCCCTAGCATTGAGCACACTGAATTAATAAATTGGGTGATACTTTTTTTTAATTAAAAAAAATTTTTTGGGGGGTTGCGCCTGGGTGGCTCAGTCGATTAAGTATCCGACTTCGGCTCAGGTCATGACCTCATGGTTCATGGGTTTGAGCCCCATGTCAGGCTCTGTGCTGACAGCCAGCTCAGAGCCTGGAGCCTGTTTCAGATTCTGTATCTCCCTCTCTCTCTGACCCTTCCCTGTTCATGCTGTCTCTCTCTCCTTCTCTCAAAAATAAATAAAACATTAAAAAAAATTTTTTTTAATTTTAATTAAAAAAATTAAAAAAAATTTTTTTAAGTAGACCTCATGCCCAATGTGGGGCTTGAACTCATGACCCTGAGATCTGAGATCAAGAATTGCAGGAGCCAGTGCAGCACCCCTGGATGACTCTCTATCAAACAGTACTTGTCACAATATTTCCTTATTCTCTCTTTTAGGAAAAAAAGTCTAAATAAACCTTAATACATTAGCCAATGCCAGTGACCGCATTAGGGACTTAATCTTAGGGAGCCCTTTGTTCAAGAGAATCAGATCCGTGGCGGTGGGTCTTTGGCATAACCGAGAGCTGTGTTTTCTGCAAAGGAGAAGTTGCTGGTGCTTCAGCATGCGAACATGCTGCTCTGTGCTCCGGCCTCAGGGTCCCCTCTCTGGCCTTGCGTTGCTCTAGGTGCTGCAGGAGAGGGATGCCCTGCAGGGAGCGCGCAAACCCGCTGTGCTCCTGAAGATTGCACCCGACCTCACAGCCCAGGACAAGGAGGATATCGCTAGTGTGGTGAGAGAGGTAGGAGTCGGGCTGGGCCCTGGGATGCCTCTGGCCGCCTGGGGGAAGGGGGGGCATCTGGCCAGCTGGGCTAGCCTGTGCCTTCCTTTCTGTGACGGTGAGAGATCTGTCATGATGTTCCTCATCTATGAAAAGCTCAGTCGGTTGAGCATCCAACTCTTGATTTTGGCTCAGGTCATGACCTCACAGTTTGTGGGTTCGAGCCCCACACTGTCTGAGCTGACAGTGTGGAGCCTGCTAGGGATTCTCTCTCTCCTCCCCTGCTCATGCTCTCTCTGAAAATAATAAACTTTAAAAAAATTTAGAAAACCAAATGTTTAGATGAGTCATTTACTTGTAATCCTTCCCTTGTCTCTTTCCTCACATTCATCCAGCAAGGGCTCTAAGGTTGGTGCTTGCAGGCTTGGTCAGACTGTTCTGTCACTCTCGCCAGTCTAACCCCAGGCCCCTGTGAGAGTGGTGGAGACACAGACTGAACCTGGCAGTCCTGGGTTCAAGTCCTAGTTCCACCACGTACTACCTGGGGGCCTTGGACAAGACTAAAGTGGGTGGATCTAAGGATTAAACCCTGTCCTAGTGGAACATTACGGGTGGTTGATATGTGATGGCTGCTACTGTTATCTTGAGGCTCATCCAGACCCTTGTTCTAGAAGCATAGTGAGCTGTGGTATAGCTCTGGCTTCCGGGGGCTGTAGTGTGGGCACGTGGCCCAGCTGCTGTCTCAGCCCCTCAGGGAAGCTACTCCAGGTGCATCGTGCCACAGCTGGAAGGCTCTTTCTGTCTCACACTGCAGTTGGGCATCGATGGACTGATTATCACGAACACCACAGTCAGCCGCCCTGCTGGCCTCCAGGGTGCCCTGCGCTCTGAAACAGGAGGGCTGAGTGGGAAGCCCCTCCGGGATTTATCAACTCAAACCATCCGGGAGATGTATGCACTCACCAAAGGCAAGAATTCGGTGCCTGTGTCTTCAGATCTGTGTGTGGCTCGGGCTCTGGGGTTTGATCCGAATCAGTGTTCCCTGAACTGCTGCATTCAAACGGGCTTGGAGGGGGAAGCCAAACTAAGGGTCTCCCGTTGCCTGCCCTTCCTCACGATGTTGCTTGTGCTTCTTGCAGGCAGAGTCCCCATCATTGGCGTTGGCGGTGTCAGCAGTGGGCAGGATGCCCTGGAGAAGATCCGGGCGGGGGCCTCTCTGGTGCAGCTGTACACGGCCCTCACCTACCGGGGGCCGCCCGTGGTGGGCAGGGTCAAGCGGGAGCTGGAGGCCCTTTTGAAGTGAGTGGGGCCACGTGTGGCTTGACACAGGTGAAGTTAATGTGGCATCAATTCAGGATGACTCAAAGGGAGGGGGAGATGCTATTTACCTATTTATTCCTCATTCACAAAGGATTCAAAAATGCAGAGGAAAATTACTGTTTCTTCTAAGACAGAGAACAGACAGGGCTAAGGAGGTCAAGATTAACTTCCAAGGCAGTGGTGTTCCTTGGCCTGAGGGGTTCTGGCAGCATCCCCGCTCAGGAACATTGGCTTGATGTCAGAGAGCTGTGAGTACCTGAAATCCATTCCTTTCCTGGTGTGAAGACCTAGGTGGAAGTACCTCTAGGTTCCTGGGTGAAGACAATGTAGAAGGCAGGAGGCACGGCTCTGGGGGAGACACACGCAGGTACCGTTACGGAGCTGACAGCCTAGGTGAACGTGGGCTTCCAGCGAGAACAGGGCCTGTCCTTCCCCATTTGGTGAAATTGCTTTTCCTCTTTTTTCAGGGAGCAGGGTTTTACCAGAATCACAGATGCCATTGGAGCAGATCATCGGAAGTGAGGACGTTTTCAGTAGGAAGCCTGATCTGCAGTCTCCCCGCTAAATCAGACAGGCCTTTGTGGCTGGATCGAGAGAAGAGAGCCACATCTGCCGAACCACAACCGCCCTTCCTCCGGCCCAACTGTAAAAGCCAATCAGAAGCATCACCAGAATCAATACATGGCTTTCTTTAATCACTTGTCGGACCATGAACTACATTCATGAGTCTTTCTAGACTCAAATCCCTTTAATATTGCAAGGACATTAAATATTTGAGGTAACACATCATGGAAAAGATAAAGCCATTTAAAACCTGGATTTAGGGGCAACTGGGTGGCGACTGACTTTGCCTCAGGTCATGATCTCACAGTCTGTGAGTTTGAGCACCACATTGGGCTCTGTGCTGACAACTTAGAACCTGGAGCCTGCTTCTGATGCTGTGTGTCTCTCTGTCTCTGCCCCTCTCCTGCTTGTGCTCACTCTCAAAATAAATAATAGACATTAAAAAAAAAAAAAAAGTTTAAAACCTGGATTTAAATCCCAGCCCCCGGTGGAGTGACAGTGACACAGGCTTCGCACAGATGCTGCAGGTCCTTCCGGGCCTCTGCTGCCTGGGGTCTGCGGTCCAAGGAGCTTGGCTCTCTTTCATTCTGACTTTACTTTTGTTTGGTTTAAGTTTTTGACTTTACTTTGAAAATATTTCAGACATAGAGCTGCAAGAATAGGGCTTGGGGGTGGCCATCCTCTGTCTTCACATCGTCTTCTCTCCGTGAACCTGGGTCCTCATCTTTTCTTATAAGGATGCCAGTCTTATTGCAGTAGCCCTGCTCCTGATGACCTCAGTTTAATTTGATGACCTTGGTAAAGACCCTGTCACCAAATAAAGGCATGTTGCGAAGTTCTAGGGATTAGGATTTTAACATGTCAGTTTTGGGGAGACACAATTCAACTCATCACAGGAAAATGCGCTTGCTGTACCCTTTATTATCTGTGACTTGGGGTGCTATTTGGCAGACAGCTTCTCAAGGTACTTGAAGACATTAGACAAGATGTGAAAGAGGTGTAGTCATTAAAGAGAGAGCCGCACAGGTCTTTTCGATACTGGAAAGCAAATGGGGAAGAGAGGCTGGAAACCTTGTCCGGGAAGCGCTGTTGATGTGTGGCAGGGCCTCACAGCCAGCAGAGAATTACCTTTGTTCCCATCACCTTAGTACAGATTTTTATTCTAAATTCGATTTCTCGGTAGCTCTGCGAGAGGCCTGGAACTGTAACAGGGGTAACACGTTTTCTTGCCTCATCATTTAATCATTTAATGCCTCCGCCTGGACCCCCCTCCTTGTGTTCACTCACGCTTTGCCACAAAGCCAGCAGCCAGTCTCCTGCTGTCCAGAGATCAGTCTCCTGTTTTGTTTTGTTGTTTTTACTTTTTAAATTTATTTTTTAAATGTTTACTTGAGAGAGAGAGAATCCCAAACAGGCTTTGTGCTGATCATGACCCAAGCCAAAATCAAGATGCTTAACTGACTGAGCCACCCAGATACCCTTTTTTTTGTTTGTTTTTAAAAAAACAACCCCCCAATAAAAGTTGTGTACCTTTTTTCTCTCTTAAGTAACTCCATTTCTCACAGGTAATCATAGATAACTTTTGTATCTATCTTCCTAGATTTTTCCAGATATTTTTGTTATGTACAAACACATGTAATCCATAGCTATTTTTTAATGTATCTGCATGCTTATGTATAGAAAAAAAATTAGGAAAATAATACAAAGAACTATTTTTTAATACCAAGTCATATGAGAGTAAATTTGCAGGTCTGATTCTCCATCCCGAATATTTGTGTGCAAATTTCTTGCAAACAAGTATATTCTGCTACACAACCACAAGACAACCGTCAAAAATCAGGAGATCAGCACTGATATATCAGTTCATCCTCAGACTGTGTGGCAGGCAGAATTTCTAGAATGCCTTCCCCCTCCCCAGTGCCCTGTCCTAATCTCTGGAACCCAGCAATGTGATGAGCTACCCCTCTGTGACGGTTATGTTACATGGCTTAACACAGGAACCTCCTTGAAGGTAGGTTATTCAGGTGGGTCCAGTCTGATCACATGAGTCCCTTTAAAAGCAAGCGTTTTCTCTGCATAAGAAGCATAAGAAGGGATCAAAGTGTTGCCGTTTTGAAGACTAGCTTGGGGGGATGAGAAGAAAGGTATTGGCCCTTAGCTGACAGCCAGCAGGGAAACAGATCTCAGACCTATGGCCACAAAGAGCTGGATTTTGCCAACAACTTGAGCCAGATTGGAGGCAGATTTCCTGCCAAAGTGTCTGGGTAAGAATCCAATCTGTCCAACACCTTGATCCTGGCCTGCTGACACCCTGAGTCTAGAACCCAGCTGAGCCTCAACTACTGCTGCAGAATGGAGCTAACAGTTACTGCGGTTCAAACCAGCTGAGTTTGTGGACTGTGTTACACATGAGAGAGAATGAACGCAGGCCAGTCTCATGGCTCACCAGTTGTCCGGTCATGTCCTTCACTGAAGACGAATCCAGTTCAGAATCACAGGTTGCATTTGGTTGTCATGTCTCTTTCGTGTTATGTCTGGAAAAGTTCCTTCTGGTTCTTGACTTCATGTCCTTGACACTTCTGAAGACGACAGGCTGACTGTTGTGTAGAATTTCCCTCATTTGGGTTTGTCTGGTGTTGGTTGTGATTGGAGTCAGGCTATGCAGCTGTGGCAGGAACATCCAGCAGCAGTGCCGTGTCACTGTGTCCTGCCAGATGACATAAGTGTCAGTTTGTCCCAGTGCTGGTAATGTTCACATGGTCTGTCCCACTTGTCCACTATAAAGTTACCCATTTTTGTTTGTAATTAATAAGGACTTTATAGGGAGTTTCTTTGAAACCATGTACTGATCCTGTTGCTCATCAAACCTTCATTTTATTCATTTATATTACTGTGGCCTCATAGTTTTCAATTTTATTGAATGGCTCAAAATCTATTATCATATTTTGATGCCCAGTAGTCTTATATTTGGCCAGTGGATGCCTCTTCAGGTGGCTTGTGTGTCCTGTTTATATGTCTTCATTACTCTTTCAGCATCTCCTTGCTTTCTGGCACAAGATGCTCCAGGCTTATCAGATAACGTCCCTGTCCTAGCCCAGGAACCAGCTATTCTACAAGGAACCCTGGGTTCCTTCTCTTGTAGAGTGAGGTTTAGAAACCAACATCTGGATGCGGGGAGTGCTCATTGCCACTGGGGGGTTGCTGCTCCCAGGCTGCTGCAGTGAACAGAGCTAGGGAATAAGTATGTGTGTAAACACATGCACACACACACACACACACACACACACACACCTATATTTCTATGTCTTTATATATTGGAAATCACGAGTTCAGACTGATACCTTCAAATCCAATCCCAAACCACAACATTCATTTTAGTTTCTTCCCTTCCTCTATTTGTAACTCCCTTCTCTGACAAGGGAAACTCTGGTGGCTCTCTTAAAATGTATTCTATTTTCTTATTTGATCCATAGTCTCCTATGGAACTTACTTCCAGTTTCTACCCCCTGCAGTATGTGGACACCTCTTCCCTTGCTTGGGGCCTGACACTCTCCACCATCCCCCACACCCTCCTGACTTTGTGCAGCTCTGACACCTGCTCCAGGCTGTTCCCTGCAGCAGACATTGTCTTCACACCACTTAGGTTCAGACCCGTGTGTTGGCCTGTCCCGCCGTGTGGTCACTTTCCTTTTGAGCTGCGGTTCTGACGCTGCACTGCAAGTGCCCCACTCCACTTAGTGTACACCCTCCTCATCCTGTGTGGGCTGTGGTTCTCTCAGCCACCTGCTCATCTTTTGCCGCATGGCAGGCACCTGCCTTCTCTGTGCCACCTGATGCTTTATGACTAACTGCGCAGGAAAGGGAGGCGGTGAGGAAGGTTCTGTTGGAGACTGACATTCTGTCAGCACAGCTGTAGCACGCTGCTGTTTCTCCCTTGAGGACCAGAGTAAGTAGGTGGCTTGCATTCAGGGGCCATGTGGTACAAGGAGCACCCATTGTTCTGAATTCTCAAAACCACGCTCGGAGCCCAGAGAAGCTCACAGTGCTGGGAGACAAGGACCACCGGTGCCCAGGTAGCCCTCTGGGGCTCAGGATCATTGAGTGGAATGATGCAGAGTTGCTAATACCATTTACATTGTTCACTATTACATTTTGTGTTCTGTGCATAAATAATTAGCATGGTCATTTCACATTAGCTAAATATAAGCAGTTAATAAGCTAAATCTTATTTGCCAATTTGCTTTTTTCATGTATCATCATGGAGTTTCTCAATGTTCTTGCCTCAGATCTGTGTGTTTTCTAACACAACTGTGGTTTTCCACAGCACAGACATACCAGCGTGACTTGTGGCCGGACGTGTAGGCTGTCTTCACTGTTCCGCATCACAGGCAGTGCTGGAGGGGTCTCTTGGTTCATGTATCTTTGTACTCTTCCAGCAGAATTCCTGTAAAATAGACTCCCAGAAGTACTATTGCTTGGGCAAAGGTTATATACACTTAAATTGTTAGTTAGGTACTGCTAAATTGCTAATAGAGAGAAAATTGCCAAGTTATACTTTCTCTCCAACTTCGTAAGAGAGGGTCCCCTTTCCTCTTAATGTCCCACACTGGAATTTAAAGTATGGGTCTGGAAGCTGCTCTTCCTTCTCTACTTTCTCCCTGGGACTAGTTGACATTATATCTCTTCCTTGAGGAAAAAGAAAAAAGGAATTGTGGGTTTAGCAAGCCACTTTGGGCTGCAGCCAGAGTGATTGCCACATCCATTTCTGTGTGTGTGTGTGTGTGTGTGTGTGTGTGTGTGCGCGCGCGCGCGCGTGTGTGTGTGAGAGAGAGAGAGAGAGAGAGAGAGAAAGAGAGAGAGAGATGCTTCCACTAAGTTAGACCCCAGAGAAAGAAAACAGAAGGGGACTCGTTTTCCCTGGCTTCTCTCATTCTTATTGCTCAGGTCACCCTCCGGACAGTGGGGCCGACAAGCAGGCATTTCTCTGTGTCAGGAGCTGGAGTTCTTTCTGGCAGCAGTTTCCTTCAAAGGGGTAGGTACATTAAGTCACACACATCCAGTGTTTTGAAAAAAAAAATCCATGTCTCTGCTGACCTTCTGATAGGCTGTCCTGGCTCAGGTTCTGTAGTCGATACTCTGTCCAGTTTTCCGTGAGGACAGGATGCTCTCCTCTCAAGGTCAAGCAGAAGACTGAGACACAGAGCTGAGATGATTTGCTCACTTTCATCTCAGGGCCAAGGGTGTAACTGGGATAGCTCTGGGGGTTATTGGTGGCATTCAATCAGTGCCTCTTGGCAGGAACATCTAGTGTGCAGGACACTGGGGGCCTGTCA